GGTGTGGGTGTGGGTGGGTGTGTGGGTGGGTGTGGGTGGCTGGGTGTGGGTGGGTGTGGGTGTGGGTGGGTGTGGGTGTGGGTGTGGATGTGGGTGTATGGGTGCATGTGGGTGTGGAGTGTGAGTGTGTGAGTGTGGGTGTGCGTGTACACGAACAGAATATTCTCACCCACACCCACACCCAGACCACCAATACTATTCAAAACAAGAGCAAAGGCGAAGCTGAAATAATACCAAGAGATCATGCATGCAAACAAAAGCTACATCTTTCACACAATAACAAAAAAAAGAAACAAAGCGTCAGAACGCTAAGACATAAGAGACAATTTAATATGTTATTAGCACGTAGAGAACAAAAAATAAAATCGGAAGTCAAATCATATGAATTTCGATTGGATTGCACACAAAAAAAACAAATAAGGATAAGCATGTTATATGCATCTGATAGTCAAGGGCAAATAAAAAAATTATTGAATAATTTTCGGGCTTGATTTGCTTGCGGAAGAAGTGTCATGACTTACTGATGATAAAATGGATGCATCAGAAATTGATGATAGAGTTGAATTAAAAGTAGAAGGTTGTGATGAGGCACTGTGTGTTGGACTAGAATGGGATCGATGATGTCCTAGATAAAAGAGATTTTTCACAGATTAAACATTTAAACTCATTGGACACCTACGAATAACACCCGGAATAAAAAGAACCGATGAAGAAGACGATAAAGTTGATGAGCTACTGCTTGAACACAGTCTCAATGTTTACTTTTAAACGAAAAAAATTTGAAATACTTACCCCCTAGCTGCCCCAATACAAGATCCGCAGCGGCAGCCGAACTAGAACCATCTTGATTATCATCAACTTCTCGGGAGTCATCACCATATTCATCCGATCCTGGATGGTACATCGGATCAGCAAGATAATTGTCCGATTCTGGACAACCATCATCATCATCATAGTCCTCATAATCCTTCTCTTCCTCATCATCATGAAAACCATAATCAAAATTGCTACCAGCCTCATCAAAATTCAAATAAATATCATCATCCCTATAATCATTACTATTACTAGCATCAAAAGCAATATCATCATCCTCATTTATAAGTCGAGAGTAAGTGGTAATATCATGGAACAGACTAATTACTTACCCGTTGGTGGTACGCCGAATTTAACTGACCCATCATCAGAAACATCATCATCTAAAAAAAGCGGCATGTCCATTTAGCAATCAAGCGAATAGAGGAATTACTTACCAATTGGTCGTATCGCAACCTCGACAGTTGATGAAAGCTCCACGTAACCATGACCATGTCCATAACCATCTTCTAAAAAGAGATATGTTCATATACGAAACAAGCGAGTAGAAAATCACTAACCGTCCTGTGACACCATCATTCCCATGTCCGATTGTATTACCGAATCCAAATCCAAATCGGCTTTGATACCTTCTAAAAACCACGAACTAGTCACTTATAAAGCAAAAACTTGAGACATTCCTTACCAGTCGGTTGTTCACCTACAGTACTATCGGCTGTATCCAATGCAGTTGTCCCAAGGGGGAAACAGCTGAAATCAGATTTTTTTGATTTTTTTGATTTTTTGATTTTTTTTGATTTTTTGATTTTTCTGATTTTTGTTTTGATTTTTTTGATTTAAATCAATTGATTTTAAATCAAAAAAAATCAAAAAAGAAAACAAAAAAAATCAAAACAGAAATCAGAAAAATCAGAAAAATCAAAAAAATCAAAAAAATCAGAAAAATCAAACAAAAAATCAAAAAAATCAAAAAAATCAGAAAAATCAAACAAAAAATCAAAAAAATCAAAATCATCACGGAAATCAAAAAAATCTGATTTCAGCTGTTCCACCCTTGATTGATGTTTTGAACAACAGAGATTAAAGATTTTTTTGATTTTTGTTGATTTTTTTGATTTTTCTGATTTTCTTGATTTTTTTGATTTTTTTGATTTTTCTGATTTTTCTGATTTTTTTTCTGATTTAAATCAAAAAAATCAGCTGTTTCCCCCTTGAGTTGTCCACAGTGCTTCTTGGAAAAATCCTTGTCTTGTATAATCCCTAAAGAGTGCTTGACTTTCTCATTATATGACCGCGATTTACGTGATGTCAAGAGAGAGAGAGACGGAACGACCGAAAATGCATAGCAAGTCATCTGAAACACTTATACAAAACCAGTCCGAGATGGCAGATGAAAGCTATCCGAAGTTATGTCGAGGGAGAAAAAGCGAGACTCCAATGGTAAATTACAGTTGGAGTACAGTGGAGTCCAGCTGAAGTCTAATGGCTACGTATACCTTGCACTCCCGGTAGACTGCAACTGTACTCCACCTGTACTTCAGAGTGCAAGTCTCACTTTTTTCCCCTTGAGCTGTGCACACCGCGAGGCGATGTAGCAGTTGGGTCTGTCATCACGCACTAGACAAGCTTGGACACGTTCACGTGCATCAAAAGTCCATCTCACAGATTAAGAAAAACACTTTCATTTTACGTATATGAACTAAATCGTTAAGTTAAAAAGGTACCAACTGTTCAGAATTTCTGAACATCCGACAGCAGTTAACAAATCGACCAGTCGATGGAGAAAATTGTTCCACTTTATGGGGAAATGGGTGTGGGTGTGGCTAAACAGAAGAAGAGCACCCACACCCACACCCACACCCACCCACCCACCCCCACACCCAAACCCACACCTACCCACACACCCACACCCCACCACACCCACACACCCACACCCAGCCACACCCACACCCACACCCACACCCACCCACACCCTGATTTTCATTTTTTCGTTGACAAGAATGTGGGTGTGACGATAAGGAGATGAGGATGGGGAGTGGATGTTCCAGATGATATTTATCCAATTTTTATTCAATAAATATCTTTCTATTCATCTTGGATATTTATGACATAATCGAAATACAATTCTTATCCTAAAAATCATTGAATTGTGGAAAAATAAAACATCATTTTCGCATCTTTGCAGTATGATACCTTAGTTAGAATGAACACATCAATAATGACTATAGGTACTTCTGGGGGATATTCTACTCATTTTTGTGTCGAAGTGGAACTCAATTGACGTGGAATTTAAACTCTATTCAATGATAACAATCTCTTGTGAAATCCTTCGAAAAATCAAAAAATTGAATTTTGATATCAACGTCATTTAATGAGTTCTTTAAAAATATCTTCAGCACACTTCCTTGATTGAATGATGATACTTTCATTGTAACATTGTCATTTTGCTCGACTGTTTAAAAAGAAAAAGAAAAGACATTGTTTCATTCCACAAAAGAAAAATGACACAAGGATCTGATAAGGTTGACACAGGTGCAATATTAATCTGTAAAAAAAATCAAACTTAAGGCAAATATAAGGTTAAAAGTATATTACAATGCTGTGTTTTTTTTGTCAACTCATCATTTCATGATGATTTACTTATAGTATATCAAAAGACAAAAAACATATATATATATACTAAAAAATTTTCAGTAAATTATTTTAAAAATTTAAAATGATGAAAATGTATTTGTACTTAATATCATTCATTCTATATTATTATTCTGGTGAGTGTAGTAGTCAGCCGTATTTTCCAACTCAAATTGTTTTTTCCGATGATGGTGGTAAAACAATAACTGCAATTGATGAAATAAATCAACGAGCGTACATTTCTACAGGACGACAAACTTCTTTCGTGATGAAACATTTTCCATATGCAATTCCTGATTCTCCTCAATCAAAATATTATGTTCAATTATTAGTAGAACACCCAACGAATTGGTGTGCGTATGGAACATATTGGAAGTATGGTGGAAATCTATATAATTCATTTCCTTCCGATTGGGTTAATGGCACTTCATTTGAAATAAAAAATTATATGAAATTTACTTATAAAATGATACATTCAAATGATTCTTCTACAGATGAGGATTATTGGTATTCAGATGTAACATGCAAAGTTCAGACTGGACAAACTTATCCATGTGACGGAATTTATTTTAAAAAAAATACACAAATTCCTCTTCGATTAACTAGAGTTGTTCGTCAAGGTTGGAATATTGTCAAAGTAACAATACCTTATATGATAATATCCATGGGAAAACCAGATGAAAAATACTTCAATTCAGTTCCGAAAAATTGGTCACTCATATGCCAAGATACTATGCTTGGACTTTTGCATTATCCACAAACACCAAAAATAGATTTACATGAAAGTGTAGAAGTTGAAATTTGGCTTTCAACTCCACCACATCGAATAAATGGAAATGATACTGTTATTATTCAATGGAAACCAAGGGAATGTACTGATTGTTTTACATGGACACCAAAACAACTTTCTTTTAACACTGAAAATTTCCAAGAACGACAAATATTAAAAATAACTCGTGTAAAAGATGGATCACCAACAAATCTTATTCCACTTTTTAATGGTGGGGGTTTCGATAGTGTTGTAGCAGAAGTTTATTCAATTATTATTCAATAAATTTCTTTCTTTTCATTGTGAATTAATCGAAACAAAATTTTATTGAACAGGCACTTCAATTCATGTAGACCTTGACGAATTCTATAGCTACAATTACTTGAAGAATGTGCAAGTTGTTTTAGTCATCACATGTAAATAATCGAGAAAGATATTTTGTATCTGAATTAAATGCCGAGTGGGTCGAACTATTCAGTATATTATGTATAAAGGTGTAAGTCGATGTGTTGATCAGCAGCGGCTGAAATCTTTTCATGATGTTTTCAAAAATTTTCTTAGTTTCGAGAACTTTTGACATGAAAAAGAGAAAAACTGGTAGAAGAGAGCCAAACGTAAACTTTTTTCTTCATGTACTCGACAGGCGTATACCTCAACATGCATCTATATCACATCATTTTTTTTGCTCAAGAAGTTCAAAACACTCATGCGCAGAAGAGAATAAATTCGACTAGGAAACATTCTAACTAGAAACTGCTAATAGACAAGAAGATGCATGAAAACTGATTCTGAGTGTTCAAAATTATCAAAAATCTAGTATTTTTTTTTATGTCGCGGCTAAAATTTTAGTAATTATTTACGGCAACGCTGGGGGTGTCTCAGGTCGATCGGCTTACACTTCTAATTATAATAATCTTCTTGAACAACTTTGCATGCTTTTCGAGTATAGATAAGCTTTTATATTTCTTTTTAAACGAACTGTATGATTTATTTTCATCATTATGATTTCTTTATGGATTATTCAAAAATTTGAAAGTTGATATTAGAGCTTCTATTTACATTTTAATGGTTTTCCATTTAATATACATATTAAATTGAGAACAAGAGAAAATGCTTCTATGAAAATGATCCAGCAGAATTTTCATTTCAAATTGATTTATTCGATTTTGAAAAATCCTTTTCAGTACACGTTCATAATTGATGGATATATTATTGCTACTTCGTCATTCAGCTTAAATATGTGATAACAAAGAAAAAGAACAAAGTCGATATCAGACTGACATAGGTTATATAAAAGTAAAATTAAAAAAAGCTCAGGCAATTATAAGGATGAAAATATATTTAACTGATTTCCTTTGCATTGGAGTAATATAAGTTCATTTGAAATAAAAAATTATCTTGAATTTAAATATGAAATGATCCATTCAAATGATTCTTCTATAGATGAAGATTATTGACATTCAAATGAAACATGTCAAGTTGATAGTGGAGAAACTTATCCATGTGAAGAAATTTACTGTCAAAAAAAATACTGGAATTCTTGTTCGAACTAGGGTGTGGGTGTGTGGGTGAATAATCGTTCTAGTCTACACCCATATCCACATCTATACCCACACCTACACCCACTTACACCCACCTACACCCACATTTACACCCACCCACACCTCACACCCACCCACACTCACATCCCACATCCACACCCACCCACACACCCCACACCCGCACCCATCCCACCCACACTCACCCACACTCACACTCACCCACACCCCACACCCAGCCACACCCACACCCACATCCCACACCCACATCCCACACCCAGCCACACCCACACCCACATCCCACACCCACACCCTTCATAAGAAAGTAAACAGTCATTTATTTTGAGGTTAACTAAATCCGGTAACAATCTTATATTTCACTCCTATTGCTCGAGCATAATATTATGAAATATAGTTTGAGGATTTTGAATTCGATCGAACCGTTATTAGAGCAACTAAGTTTTTTGACTATTAATTTTTGGCATCTTGTTTAACACAAACTACTCAATAAAGTTTTTTCGTGCTTATCATGTCACATAGTTTTACTTTCATTGATTTTTCTGTCAGTTATTACCTATGAATAAAAATAGTTTCTATTTGCATTATTTCTAACCAATCTGATCTTTCCTTTAATAGTTTTTCTATACCTCTACAGCGACATCCATGTTTACCTCTTTAAATTATTCGATTGCTTTTACTCATGCCCACAAGTGTATGTTGACAACCAACATGGCTGTTTAGTAAATATCAATGTAAATGTATAAATATTATTTTGACTAAAGATAAAACATAGATGGCTGATGTTAATATAAGCCAAAATAAAGAAAATTTCGTGTTGATTTGGCTTGATCGAGCACTTGATACAAAGTATAATGACTTACGAAATCTGGCCAAAATACGTGATGTTGCTTACTCTCTTCGTACTTATACTGATCCAACAGTTTGCTTAGAATATATTAAAGCATCATCTAATGAAAAAATTTTTCTTATTGTATCGGGTACTATTGGTAAAGAGTTTGTTCCTCTTATTCATCATCTTCCACAAGTTCAATCAATTTATGTTTTATGTTTACATAAACGACAACAAATAGAATGGACAAGTGCATTTTCAAAGATTAGACAAGAAGATATTTTTAATCATGTCAGTCCACTTATTGATCGTTTAAAAATTGATTTATTCAAATGTGAATATGTATCAGACATTAGCTTCAAACTTGAAAGATCAATTTTTGACATTCATCAAAAAATGACTGATTTCAAATGGTCTCGTCTACTATCTCATACTTTAACCAAATTAATTCCAGATAGAAAAGCTCAACAAGAAATGATCGATTATTTACGTGATTATTACAAGGATAATCAAGCTAGTTTAGAATTTCTCGATGATTTTTCGAAAAATTATAAAAATGAACAAGCTATTCGATGGTATACACGTCCTGGATGTCTATTTCGAAGTCTTAATCGTTCATTTCGAGAAGAGAATATTGAAGAAATTTATAGATTTCGATCATTTATTAGAGATCTTTCCGAACAAATCGATTTATTATATATTGAACAAAAGGAAACAATAGGATGTGATTCATATACTGTTTATCGTGGCACATGTCTTCCTTATGATGATATTGCCATTCTCAAATCCAATCAGGGAAAATTAATTTCGTTTAATGGATTTCTTTCCACAAGTTTTGATCATAATGCAGCATTAGTTTTTATAGAACCAAGTAGCAAAGAAGAGCAAAAAGAAGCCGTACTCTTCCAATTCTTTGTTAATACTGATCTTGACACAACTTCTTATGCTTACATTGGACTTGAAAGTGATATTTCTGATGAATTAGAATTGCTTTTCAATATAAATACAATCTTTCGTATAAATAAAGTTGAATATGATGAATCAGCTAAACAATGGTTTGTTCGATGTGAACTTTGTCTGAAGAATGATGTAGAACCACTTTATTTAGAAAACAATGATGATATCAATGAGAATCATTCTAATTTATATCAATTTGGTATATTATTAATGCAAGCTGGACAAATATCCCAAGCGGAAAAGTTTTATTATAAATTATTAGAAGAATCTTCAGGAAATTTCAGAGCAGAATTTAATTGTTATACTGGACTTGGCGCTGTTTTCTTTCATCTAGAAAACTATACACATGCACTCGAAATGTATTCAAAAGCATTAGATTTAAATATTCAACCCGAAGTCATTTACAATGATATGGCAAATATACATGTTAAATTAAATGAATATCAAATTGCAATTGAATTTTATGCTCGATCACTATCCCTTATTGATGATGAAAATGACATCCATTTACTGGCTACAACGTTAGCTAATATTGCGAATGTATATCATCTTCAAGGTGCTTACAAACAAGCTCTTGAAATATATGAAAAAGCCAGTGACTTATACGTAGATGCTTATGGAGGCATGTACCAACATCCGAAGCAAGCTGGTCTCTATGACATGATGGCTATGGCTTATAGACAATATGGCATGTTTGATAAAGCCATGGAATATTATCAGGATTCTTTAACGATTTTGAAAAAGACCTTACCGACAGAACATCCAAATTTGGCACAATGCTATAATAATATTGGTCTTCTTTTCTATGATCGAGATGATCCTGATTCAGCATTTGAATATTTTCAAATGGCTTTAGCTATTGATGAACCACTAGGACATCGTCATCTACGTTTGGCTACTATATATGGGAATTTAGCTGTTATTTATTCTATCCGAAATCAATACGATCTTGCAATTCAATATCATGAACGTGCAGTTAACATATGCCGTGAAGTTTTATCAGAACACCATCCGGATCTAGCTATTCGCTATGTCGATCTTGGTGTTACATTAATAAAACAACGAAAATTTGATGAAGCTCTCAACGTCTTGCATAAAGCGAGAGCAATTTATGAGAACCAAGATATTAGCACCTTTCCATTAGATCATCCAAATTACGCTAAATTCTACAGTACTATGGCTGATTTATATTCTGAAAAGAGTGATTTTAATCAAGCATTTGAATTTTACACTAAAGCACTTCATATTCGACAAGTTTATTACTATCCAGATCATCCGTTAATTACTGCTAATCTACACAATCTTGGTGTCATACGTCATAGACAAGGTCAATATTATCGAGCTCTTGGTTTCTACCAAAGAGCAAAAGATCTATTTGAACAAGTCATGCCACAAAATCAAAATGCTCTCACTTCCCTTTATGATAATTTAGCAAGTTTGTATTTTGACAAAGCTGAATATGAACTAGCTTTAGAATATTATGCGAAGTCTTTAAATATTCGACGACAGATATTCGATGCAAAACATCCATCTATTGCTAGAAGTGAAATGCATCTTGGAAAAATTCATGCACATTTGCGAAATTATAAAGATGCTTTTGATTATTATAATCGAGCTCTTCAAAACAGTGACAATCTAGGTGAAGTTTATATAAATCTCGGAGATCTTCATTCATTTCAAAATCAGCATACCAATGCGATGGACTTTTATGAAAAAGCTTTGACTTATTACAAAGAAACCTATGGCGATAATCATTCATACACAGCTACAACTTATTCTAAAATTGGTAACGCTTTTTATTTACTCGACAATTATGATAAGGCAATAAATAATTACATGATAGCTTTACAAATTTTTCAGCAAATTTATCCTGAAGATCACAAAGACATTGCTACTATACTTAATAATGTTGCTAATATTCTTAGTGATGTCGGTCAGTTAGACGTCGCTGTTAATCTTTATATACGAGCGCTTGAAATCTACCGAAAACACTTTACTGCATCACATCCAGAAGTATTGACAAGTCAAACAAATATTGCTCATTGTTGTAGAGTATTAGCAAGGCAATGCGTTGAGCAAGGACACTGGCAAGAAGCTCTCGATTTCTGTCAAGAAGCCTTAGAAATTTATGAAAAAGTATTACCTGCCGGTTCGACTGAAAGAGAATCAACATTAACAAGTGTGAAAAATGATATGGACCAATTGCGAGACTTGATTACATCAAGCGTAGAAGACACTGCCACAAGTATGCAAGACAAAATATCAGAATGAATGATGAAATGACTAAAAAAGGCATTAAAATAGACTTCGTAATAGTTCTTTTTTGTTTCAAAATTATTGACAATGTTAACGTTCCAAAATTATTGTATATTCAAATTTTCTTTTACTGAGAATTTGTAATTAATATTCCGGCGTGGGTGTGGGTGGGTGTGGGGTGTGGGTGTGGGTGTAGGTGTGTGGGTGTGGGTGTGGGTGTGGGTGGGTGTGGGTGTGGGTGTTGAGTGTGAGGATGGGTGTGAGTATGAGGATGGGTGTGAGTATGAGGACGGGTGTGAGTGTGAGTATGGGTGTGAGTGTGAGTATGGGTGTGAGTGTGAGTATGGGCGTGGGTGTGATAATAAATAATCACATCCACATCCATCCTGGGTGCTCATTATAAGTAAGCACTCACCCACATTCACACTCTTTTTACTTGTGGTATGCTATGCAGCTTCATTTATGACGTTTGAAATACTCTCTGCAGTGATTGAAATTCTCCTCAGAAGGTGTTCATCAAAATCATAAATAATGAAAATCAGCCGTACCGAGTCGAATTCATTGTTGATTTCTTCCGACCGAGGTGAGCGTTGTATAAGTCAGAGGGGTGCGTTGTTTGTCAGACAACTTTTGTGGCATTCTTTCTTCATCACAACATTTTGGTCTTTTTTTCGCTCTTTTATTCTCGCTTTTCTTTTTGAATTCTTTTCGTTCGCATACTCTATTTGGAAGAATTGCATGTGATAACAGTAAAAAATTCAAGATAAAGAACAAGAGAAGGATGTGGGTGTGGGTGTGGGCGTGGGTGTATGGGTGTGGGTGTGAGTGTGGGTGTGGCGGTTTCTTTATCTACACTCACACCTACACCTCACACCCACACTCACACCCACACCCTCACACCCACACCCACACCCACGCCCACGTCCACCCACACCCTCGTAGACGAACAATGGGTGTGGGTGTGGATTTGTATCTGGATTCACTGAAAGATCATTCTCACACTTACTTATGTCTGAATATATAGAGATGGCATCACTGACATTTGTTTTTGATGATGTATCATAAGGTGAAACAAATTATACTATAGATAGCGAATGTTATATTTAAACAGCAAATAATCATCTTATATTTAGTTGTGTTACAAAGTGAACTCGTGGAAAAAATGTAGATGAAATCTAATATATAAATTAACACTAAAATCTACATATAAATAAGTAAGAAAAAAAACATTCTCACTACATAATTGAATAACGTTGATTTTTTTTAATGTAATTTATTTTAATGTTTATGTTTATGTGTAAATAAATGTGCAAAATCATTTAATATTGATGATAAATTTGTTGTTTGTTTTGTTTGATAATCAGAATAGAAATCATCTATTACAATAGTTTGATTATCAAGATGAATTCGACGATAATTATCTTCATTTTTATCAATAGTTGATGTTGATAAATATACATTAACATCTAACGTATAAATATTTTCTTTAACATTAGTTGTTCCATATTGATTTTGATTATTAAGAATTCGATTTTATTGAAATGTTGTTAGTATTAAATTTTGCTAAACCATTATGAAACCAAGTAGACATTGAAAGAGAACGTGATGGTCGTTTTTCAGACAGAATATTCGTTATTGATTTATCAAATCTAAGGTTAGGAATTGATGGGTGTGGGTGTCGATAAAAAAAACAGCCACAGCCATACACTCACATTTACACATCCATACCCACTCCCACACTTACATACCCATACACCCACACTCTCCCCCAGACCTGCTCTAAATCCTTAAAATATGATTGATATTTCGTCAGGTCTCTTCGATTATCATAATCAATAGTTTCTTTATTGGCACATATCTTTTACTAATATTCTGATCCATTACTCTGCACAACAATATCTGCAACTATGTGTTTTCATAACAACACTGATAACACCATCACATCTTTGTCAACACACTGCTTCAACTTCACTTCACCTGAGTATTGATTGTGTTCTGTTCCTTTTGAAAGTTGGAAAAAATCAACAGTTGACACTCGACAAACTGCACCATTCGTCGATTTCTTATCCGATTCACTTTGCGCAGATGTAAGCTAATACCCAAGTGTATCCAATGCATACACATCGTTTTTCCGTAAAAAATGCCAAGAGAAAGTATGCGCAACAATCAGTTCGTACGTGGTCTGTTCCAATGAGTCACAGTATCGAAAGACCGCTTCAACTTCGTTAATACATGACAATGAATTTATTGTGTTCATTTCAGCCTAATGTCAGTGACATATTACTGAATGAAGAGTGCCCGAGATTGAAAATATCAACTAAAACTGCAAAATAGAGTCCACTGCTGTTTTAATGAATAATCTGATTGATAGGCATTGATTTCTCATTTTCACAGCGTTATATAAAGTCATTTTTGGGATCTTTACCCGGTCTTGAGAGGACGCCGATGACTGGTCTAAATCTAAACGGGTTCCGGAGGCAATCCTGAGCAGGATCAATATTACGCACATGAGCATAGACCGGACTTGTATATTGTAAACGTCCGAACGGACTGATCAAGGCATGTAGGTACCCTGTGGCGATTAGTTTGTCGTCAATTGACCACATTTAGATAGCCCATGAGGGAACCCATCATGGACTGCTTGAGTCTTTCGGACACGCACAATCGAAAACAAAGATCAGAGATCTAGGATTTATTAGCTCAAAATAATACCCATCATACTCTAAGAAATCCCTCAAATAAAAAGCCCAAGGTGAACAATTTTCTAAAACAACTATAGTGAAGTTCTCTTTTCAATGCATCCAATGAACAGAATGATTCGATATTAACTATTCACTTTGAGCAACCAATACTTATCAATCAGGATGATATATGATATAACTGTGTCATAAGATAATAAGTTTTTCCGTGAATATTTTTGAACATTATCTTATCGAGTTTCTCGAATTCGAGAAAAGAAAAGGTCCGTTAGAGTAACATTTATTTCATTTTTAGTCGATTTCATCTAGCTGTGCAATGAGAATGAGTTCATGTTCATATCCTTTCTTCTTGCACGCTGTACATAGATCATAGTTTGAACATGTTTCACAATAAAATCGTTTTCCAATCAATGGCATCATGCCACATCCATCACATGTTACTGATGACCAAACAAAATCATCAGGCGAATGCTCAACTTTTTCACCTTTGCACCAAGTTTGAATCGCCTCTATTTTCTTTATATTGATATCTCGTTGACCAGACTTTGTTAAAAGTTCGCCAGTAGGTTTTAGAATAATCAAAGCTGGTAGTATGCTAAAAGAAAAATAAGTCTTCAGTAGTAGTCTTGTTACATAATCATCGAATGGCAATGCTTTCCAAGGCATTTGTTGACAATGTTTATTGAACATAGTTTGAGTATTATCTGCCGAGATGAAGATAATGTCGAAAGGTAAATTAGTTTCGATTACCTTTTCATACACTTGCACTAAATCCGAAGTAATGTCTTCATTCGCTGGACACCAGAGAGCGGAAAAGTAAAGACCTACATATTTTCCTTCATATGATTTTAATGTCACACGTTCATTGTGGTTATTTATCAAGTCACTGTGATAAAATAATTGTTCTATCGAATACTTGTTTTTAGGTGATAGAAAATGAATTAATTCGTGATTATGTTCATTTTCTTTCGTTATTTTGGAATAGCATTCGGCACAGAGATCATAACTACATTCTCTATTTGGACATCCGAAACGTTCCCCCACCAATGGTTTCATGTAACATGATCGACAATAAATATTCAACCAAACCTGTTCACTATTGTCTTGAGACTCTGGTGTCCAAAATACTGTTTTACCTTCAGTCCATTTTTCTATTGCATTTGCCGATATTAATTCTTCATCAGCTTCCGACGTCAAAATTTCACAATTCGGTTTCAAGATAATTAATGATGGGATATCTTCTATATCGTAACGTTCATTAAGATTTTCAGCTTGCTGGCGATCTATTTGACAAGGTAAAACGGAGCATTTGATTAGTAGAGTTTTCAAGATGTTCATTTTTCTATTCTGTCTATGGGAAACAATAGTACAATAGATGCATTTAGAAGATATGCAATCGAGAACTCATAGCAACTCTAAGAATAGACAATTTATCTAAAAATCAAACGCGTTCAAACGAAAAACCTATTTAGTTAGTTCTTCATTTAAGTACGTCGTGATGTTTTTTTTGTCTCTGCGATTAATAACAAAAAGATATCGTTACATTTAACATCTCACAATATCTGTGATTTAATAACAAACAATCACATTCAATCATTCAGAGTTATATATGCTTTCTTGCTTCTTTTAGTAGCAGGGTTCCCATCTCTCCCACTGTTTCACTATTTTTTCTGCTTCTTCGAATAAAAGATTTTCGTTTGGTTTTTCACAATTCGATATAGAAAAAACCTGTTATTATTCAATAAATCGTAAATTGTGATCGCTAAAGTATATAGTATGTCATTACAGCTATTAGTCAATCTGATGACTTATTGGAATAACATTAAAATTTTTGCTATGAATGAGAGACTGCTTTCAGCTTTTATTGATGAAGTAAAAAAATACCATTCTACTTTCAACTGATAGCTAACTCTGCTTTTTTGACACAGAAAAAAGACACAAATTCGAAAATTTAAACGACTTTTTTTGTACTAAATGCATAACGACATAATAACACACACAAGACGCTTGTGGGTCCAAGAATTATCTTCATCCAGATCTACGTCATATATAGTACGAGTAAAAATGGACCATCTGAATATTTCTTGTGAAATACTTCTAGTACATGCTTTTGTATTCAACATATTAGGCTGAAAATAAAAAAACTGGTTTATTACTTTCATATGGTATTACTTTCCAAGGCATCTGCTTATAGTATTCATTGAATGATTCTTCATCAGTATCACCGGATACAAAGACAATATCAAACAATAGATTACTATTGTTGGATAGAGCAGTTTTATAGGCCTGAACTAATTTTGAAGTAAAGTTTCGACAGTGACGACACCAATAAGCACTAGAAGTGGATACCAAAAGTTAATTTTATCAATTTGATTTCGATCGACAAATAAAATTCAACTGAGCTCAACTTACGAAAAGTACAGACCAATTGTTTTATTTTTTAATTCGTTTGAATCGAACTCCGTCGAATATGTACCGTTGAGTAATTTTTTACCAACCAGCTCGGCTATTAAAACCATCTCACTGTGTTGTACCTCTATCGCTTGTCAACAATATTTCTTTTCTTCCTGATAAACACTGTGTCTTGTTATTGCCTGTTTTTATGAAGAATATAAATAGCAACACCGACATGAAGCAAGAAATTTGGCGACAATAAAGTAAGAGAACGTCATATTATTTTTTTTTACTTTTCTTTCTTTTCTACTGCTTTATATAGCGAAAGTGCCGTCAATATAATTGTAACAGGTAAATCGACCATAGGTAAGTCACATGTTGGAAAAAATATTGATCAAAATTGAAATTATTGTATCGTATATAAAATAGTAACAGGCCAGGCTTTTGTATTTTAATATTCAATTTCATTAATTGATAAAAAAATCACAAGAAATTCATCTTATAATGACGATATCACACGTTTTTGTAAATAGTCAGGTGGCAACTGCATAAAATGAGTAGAATATCAATCAAAAATCAAACGTCATACGTTACATACCCTTTTCTCTGGGATAAAGTATGTACCTGATTTTTATTAAACACTCAAATGAATTTCTAGATATTCTTTCTCGTGTTTTTTTTGTTGCACGCAACTATTGTGATTAGTATCGCTTTATTTTAATTACCATTCGTTACAATATAAAAAATACAGCCATCTTTTTATTCGATTTTGCTGATAGAAAGATATGAAAAAAAAAGATTGAAGATAGTATTCATTTATTTAGTACACTACCGAATAGCTATCACATCAACGAATTTGTTCATTATTTCGACACAGATGTGAGTTCAGATGATGGCGATCGTTGTGAAACTGATATGGTTTGACATTAACGATAATCATGAATCCATTAAAACTCAATTTGAAGATTGTTCCATTCTCTTCTATCATGATGAACAAACATGCATCGATTTTATTGAATCAATGCCTAAAAGTGACAATATATTTTTAATTGTACCTGTATCAAGTGGCATAAAATTATTAAGCATGATTCATGATTTACGACAAATAGATTCTGTCTTTCTATTTTCTATTGAAGCTGAATGTGAGAAATATGAAGATTTACTTGACAAATATTCCAAACTCATCGGCATATTTGATCAGTACACTAATTTATTCCAGTCTTTGAGAGAAAATATTGAATTATGTATTCAACAAGTCGAATCTTTTAAATTCTATGAACAAAATCAAAAGTCGACTCGTGAATTGTCGAAAGAGTCTGGCTCATTTCTTTGGTTACGATTATTCAAAGATGTCGTATTACATCTACCACATGATGAACAAGCAAAGAAAGAAATGTTCAAAAAATTAAAAGAGTATTATTATAATAATAACAAACAATTGAAATGGATCGATAAATTCGATACACAATACAAATCCGAAGATGCCATTCGATGGTATACTAGAGAACCATGTTTGTACAAACAACTGAATCGTGCTTTGCGCACCGAAGATATCGAATTGTTGTATACATTTCGTTATTTTATTGCTGATCTGTCAAAACAACTATCACAAGAGTATGAAATACTAAGAGAATCGTTCGATTCGAAAATAAAATTCTATCGTGGTGTTATTATGTCTAATGAAGAAATTCATAAATTGAAGCAAAATGTTGGTAAACTTATATCGACCAATGGATTTCTCTCTACTAGTCAATCCAAAGACGTTGCTTTAAAATATACAGATCAATCAACAACTCAACAACAAAATGTTTTATTTGAGATTGAATACGATTTTCAAAAGATCGATTCGATAATCGCAGCAAGCATAGCACATTTTAGTCAGCATCCAAATGAGGACGAAGTTTTGTTTGATTTGGATGCAGCATTCAAATTATCTTGTGTTACTAGAGATGATTTATTAAACGTTACGAGAGTCGTAATGGAAATAACCGATGAAGGATCAGCAATAGCACAAGAGCATACGAATGAGATCAGAAAAGATATGAACTCATCTAGTCCAGTGCTCGTATTTGGTCGACTATTAACCATAATTGGTGAACATGATAAAGCTCAACGATACTTTGATCGATTACTAGAGAATCCGAATGGACCAAATGAGGAATTTATCTATTATTACATGGGTCTCGTTCAATATCATAAAGGAAATTACGAACAAGCTCTACAACATTATGAACATTCATATAAAATAATGAGTAATGATATTAATTCACGCGAATTCGCATTATCCTATGTATTAAATGATATCGGTGCAGTTTTTAAAATCCAAGGCAAATACGATGAAGCTCTAGATTATTTTATGCGTGCTCTTGAAATTCGAAAGAACTACTCAGATTACACTGCAATAGCAACATCTCTCGTAAATATTGCAGTAATTTATCGATTAAAAGGTGAATATGATCGTGCATTAGAATGTTCAATGGAAAGTCTTCGTATAAGAGAAGCATATCTTCCTAGCGAACACACAGAAACAGCGAAAACTCTAAATAATATCGCTGAAATATTCACGGATAAGGATGAACTTAAAACTGCTTTGGAATATCATGAAAAAAGCTTGAAGATGATGGAGAAATGTTTACCTGCAGAACATGATGATATAGCATCATGCTTGAATCGTATCGCTCTTGTTTTAACACATCAAGGAAAATATGATGAAGCTTTAGATTATTACATGCGTGCTCTAAAAATCAGAGAACAGGCCTTACCAAAAGAACATCTGAGAATGGCTACAACTCTAAGTGACATTGGATATGTTCATTATTCAACAAAAAAATACATTCTGGCTTTGGAATATCTTGAAAAGGCCTTGAAAATACGCGAGACATGTTTTTCTGATATCAATGATATTGGTCGAGTGAATATTTTCACATATATAGGCTTAACTTTCATTAAACTACACCAATATCGTGATGCATTGACATATTTCAAGCATGCACTTCACGTGGGCAAAATTGTCTATCCGATTGGTCATGTGAAGCTTACTGATTGTTTTATCAATATGGGTATTGCTTTTCGTGAAATGGGTCATTATGATACGGCATTTGAATATTTTGAAAATGCATCAAAAAACGAAGACCAAAATTCTGCAAAGCCTAATCCTATCAGTTTAGCTCGCACATATGATAGTATGGGTATGTGTTTATGTGATCAAGGTGATGATGAACAAGGTTTGGAATATCGAATGAAAGCTGTTCGAATAATCGAGAAAGTTTTTCCTCGCCCTCAATACGCTGATTGCATAGATCCGATTGGCCATGCATTTTTCACCAATGAAAAATATGATTGTGCTTTAGAATGTTTTTTTGCAAGCTTGACTATAAGAGTTCAATGTCTTCCATCAGACCACATCGACATAGCTCAAAGCTTCCTACTCATAGGTGACGTTTTTTTCGAATTAGAAAAGATTGCTGATTGGGAAAGTATTGAACAATATCGTATTAAGGCGCGATTTTATTATGAACAAGCTCTGGCCATTTATCGAGAAAAACAACACGCTAATACTGCCTATGTTTTGCATAGCATTGGGTCCATTTATGAAAATATACATAAATATCATCGTGCGCTTGAATATTATTATCAAGTATGGGCATGGTACCAACAATATCCTCCAGCAGAAGACTCAGATAGAGAGAAATGTGAACGTAGTATTGCTCGTGTGAAATGGTTCATGCTGTAGTGTTCAATCATGGGATTTGAAAGCGTTTTTTGAAAAGATTTTTAATATTTGTTCTGACTAACTAGTTCATTCAATAAAAGCATGAAAATTGTTTCGAAAATCAACAAATTGTATTCTTTATTCGATTCTTTAGGGTGTAAGTAGATGTTGAAAATCGACAGAAGAAATATGGTAATGAATACCTCTCCTGTTTGAGAACTGATTTCAATACAGTGAACAAGCTTTCAACATTTTACAACAATTTTTACTTGATAATTATCCTGATCCAAACTCTACGAAGTAATCTGAAGGTTATTCGATAGAAGTTGTAGATAGCTTTCGATGAATAAACAGGATGTAGGTATGGGTGGGTATGGGTATAGATGAAGACTAGATCCAGAGTCACACCCTACACCCCACACTCTTAGAATTTATAGCAGATCTTTTGTTATTTTAGTAAGTAAATCGATTAGGCTCTGCACGATTTCGAGCATGAAAATCGATTTTGAAGGACTTGATGTAAACGTGTCATATATACGATGGAGTTATCCACTAATAAAGAAAATTTTTCATTAAATTGTTCATTTTGTAGAACTCACATAGACTTTTCAAAGGAAAGAAATGAATGGAAGTTTCATTCGTATTTTGCGGCTGCCTCTTCCTAGCAGTAGTGAACAACACGCACCAGAACGCTTCATATAGTTTCTTAACAACGGGAAAAGGCGCTTAAGGGTATTGACAACAAGACTTAAACTATTTTAGAATATTCTAGGACATGTCAAAATCTTCTTTGAAATTTAAATGGCTGGAATACGTTATTGAGATAAACAATACCGTGTTGAGATCTGTTGTGGATATAAAATGTGTGTATAATAGACTTATTTGTCAGTTAAATCAATGGTTAGAATAATAAGAATAAATTAAGAGAAACGAAATAAAATAAAAGCAATTAAATAATGAGCAAATAGCAACAAGACAAATAAAATATAGAGCGCCACTAAAAAAAATTAAAAGAAAAAAAAAACGTCTGTTTGAGACGCAGAAATAATAAGGCAGATCGTTTCTTTGCTGTCGATCATTTTCAGAAAGCAACTTTCGTCTGTTAGAGATTTTTCACTTTAAATATTTTGTATCAGTGTAATGTAACCGAAGAAGAGATATAAGTTTCATATTTTAGCTCCAAATGGGCTGCTCTGATAAGCTGTTTTTTTTATAATGAAGGTTTTCGAGCAAGAAAAAAGAACATAGATGTAACTATATCAAGGTTTGCAGCACGTAATCCATATTTAGCTCCTCTTTGAAACATATCACATATTGCTGTACTACCTTTAGAAAATATTCGAGCTTTTTCCAATAGCCAAATTGTATTACGTCCTAACCATCGACCAAGAGGGCTTGTACGAAAATTTATTAATGAGAAAAATGAATCACCACCATCTAGCCGTTGATAACATTGATAACAAGAAAAATCACCTTCTAGTATTATTCGATTTTCTTCAATAGTAAAACCAACTGATTGAAGATCCGAAACAAATTCATGAGTTGATTTTAATTCGGGTAAACCAAAATTTGCTTCCATCGTACGCATTGCTTCAACATGTTCATGATTTTGATCATCATATTTATCAGTTAAACACACATCATAACCAACAAATGAACCACCTGGTTTAAGTACACGAAAAACTTCAGCAAAACATTTAGACTAAATCATTGTAGAAAGGAAAAGAATCTTTTTTTAAATAAATGAATACAATAATATACCTTTTCTGGTGAATGACATACCGATTCTATAGCATAAACATGATCAAAACTATTATTTTCAAATGGTAACTCCATAAAATCACCTTCAATAAATTGACAATTATCTGGTACACCTGAAATAAAGTTTCAATTCATATTTAAAGTTTGTTTCAAAAAATAAATACAATGCATTCTTACCAATTGCTATAGCTCGTTGAACTTGATATGGACTAATTGTAATACCAGTAACATGCGCTCCAGTTAAGCGTGCAATACGTCTTAATGGTCCTCCAACTCCACAACCGATGTCAAGCACTTTATCTCCTGGTTTAGGTTGCATTCTTAATGCTAAATAAGATTCATGTCGTTGAATCGATTCTGCAAATGTTTCACCACGAAATCGATTAGCACAATGAATACTTTTACCCAAAGCATATTCATAAGCATCTGTTGTTAAACTATAATAACTCGTCACTATCGTTTTGTATTCAGCTTTTCGTTTATCGACAGGTGTTGAATCTTGATATAATTCCTTATATGCTAAAAGTTCTTTTTGAACAGTAGTATTTGAACGTCGTACAACTTTTTTTTCTGTCATTATTTTTCTTCTATAATGTAAATCAACGATTATCTTTTAATTATACACAGTAAGTATCAAAATTATTCAATAAACAGAGTAAAGACTTTTTTCCTAGTTGATATTTCGAAAACTATATGAGTTGTAATGATTCTAGTTTATCTTTATTATAGTCCATAGTGCCTAGTATATGTATACAAAATTTCAAGTCAAAATATCCATCTATTCCATAGTTGTTGATCAAACACTTCCAATGTCTGTTTTTCGATCGTTCCAAAATTAATCAAAAACCTATTTTCTATGATTTTCTACGTAACTATCACAAGTCAAACATTTCATTATAATATATGACTTGAAAGAGAATTTTTTTTTCTACATGATGGACTACCTTTTCTTGTACTCGCTTTTTGAAAACAAGGTCCAATACGGGCAATCTTCAGAATATACTGGTAAACACTAGAAGCAGTTTAAAAAAATGTAATTTTTCATTTTAATTTTCAACTGATTTTAAATTTTCAAAGTATCGTTAGAAAAAGTGTCTGAAACTGCATGTGAAAAGGTATTTTACTCGTTATTTTTTACCATAGCAAGCAGATATAGTGCATTCTCACGTATATCTCTGTCATGTTAATCACGTATACAACTCCTTAAATTCTGCCATTTTCATACGTAAGAGAATACTTGAAATTTTTCTAAAAAGTACAAACGTATAGAGAATTATTTCCTCTACAAATTAGTTATAATTAAAATTGAAAATACCTTGCAATCGTATTTGGCCTGATAGGATCAACCACTAATAAAACCCAAACCTTGCTAAACAAGTACTGACGGACAACGTGTTATATATCACTTTGCTTAGAATTTCATACTCTTTCGAATGACGTGTGTGTTGGGGAAATTTAATTATTTTTGAATGAAATCTTTCTCTAATTTGCTGTCAATACTATAATCGAAGGCTCAATTGTAAGTTGTTCTGTGAATCAATAGTGTATTTCTCATCAGAAACAAAGTATTTTAAATTTTAATTATAACTAATTTGTAGAGGAAATAATTATCTACACGTTTGTATTCTTTAGAAAAGTTTCAAGTACTCTCTTCTATATGAAAATGGCAGAATTCAAGGAGTTGAGTACATGATCAGCATGGTGAATATATACATGAGAATGCATTATCTTTACTTTATAATGTAAAAAATAGCGAGTAAAATACATTTTCAGATGCAGTTTAAGACACTTTTTCTAACAGTACTTTGAAAATCTAAAATCAATTGATAATTAAAATGAAAAGTCGCATTTTTTGAACCATGGTGTTGTGAGAGTGTACAAATCCATGACACCCTCCCATCGCACATTCTTTTTGATCTCCCAGAATGTTTGCAACATCGCATATTCTTCGTATATCGTAATGCAGACAAAACAAAAAATCTTGAGTTTTCCTTTAAAAGATGCGCCGTCGAATTCTTCATCAAATTCTACCTATCTTAGGTCAAAACGATAGAACTGAATGTTTTCATAGATCGCATAGTGGAATTTTATGAGATGCATAAACTTCCTGAACATTTTTACTTTGTTTTTCTGATTTTCTTCACGCTACAAAGAAGAACCTATAAGGTTGCGTCTTGAGATTTTGATTAAGTAGCAAATGCTCTCTTAGAATAATGTGTAAGTATTTGATCACAACTCACTTTTGTCGAATTAGAATGGCTTGGCAGTGTTACTACAGTAAAAATCGATTTTTCTTTCCAGTATTCAGTTTTCATTCCAGATGGTTCATACATTATTCCATGTTATCTGAGCTGCAATTATCTAGGAACATCTGTTTTCTAAGAATACTGCATAAATAAATTCGTTTTGATCATAGGTGAGATTGGTAAGATGCTTTTTCCGAAAAAAACAAAAAGAGAGAAAATGTCGCCATCGGTAAAAATGGCTCTGAAATCGACAGAGTGAGCAATAGAGGACTTTGAATATATGTACAATTAGCAGTGGTTTGCAAGATCTATGTAGCAGTGAGTTTTGTTTTCGAAACTAAATATTCGTTCATATGAGAAGAAGAAATTACCAAGAACAGTATGTGGGAAGTAGACCCATTTCATGGAATCTCACCATGTGATCTATAAAAACAGACAATTCTATTGTTTAAACGAAGATAGATAGAAATTTGTGGAGAACTCGACAGCGCATCTTTTTATAGGAAAACTCTTGATTTTTTATTTTGTCTGTGTTGCAATGTGCTAAAAACAGGCGATGTCGCAAACATTCTTGGGCACTCATATCTACACTCCACACCCTGACGTTAAAAAATTTTGGTGAAATGATCTCAAGAGACAGAAATGTGGGACTTTTTTGAAAAACCAGAATTTCGGAACAAAACGTTAGTTGGAAAGAATGAAATGTGTTGTTTAATAGACTCACCTTGTTTGACTATGCGTTGTTATTGAAGGCAAAATTGAAAATGATTTGAATGTTTCTTGCACAGAAATAACATACACTTGTTTTTCTTTCTCTCGCACCTTCGTTCTCACTTACTCCCTGTTAATTTCTCTCTCGTTCTCTGAATCTCTGCGAGAAATGAATTCTGTTTTTGCAAACGCAGGTAGAAGTCTTACACTGCTACATTTGAGTGAATTTTTGTTTGTCGACTCTCTAGTGACGAAAAAAAAGTGAAGTCAATATCGTTGTCGTTGACATGTGGGATGTGTAAGGCCCAGATTCGCCGAGGAAAACATTTCAACAAAACCAAATACTGTTCCAATACAACTCCACGAGCTCTATCACATGGTAAAATCCGCTCCTCGATGCATTTTATTGTAACCGAAAACAACCTAAAGTACCACATTTCCTTCCATCGAAATAACTGGAAAAAAACTATTCTTGAGCCGATTTGCTTCAGAAAATGTCCCAACTGTAATATGAGAAGCTCTATTGATTGCCGCCGAGCTCATCTCGCTTCAATACTCCTTTCGCGGGATACTCTCAAATTACCTGAAAAATTTCTGACTTTTCACAGTATGTTTTGGGCTGAATCGCCTAGAAAAATGTTCCAACAGAATCGAAAAGTCTTCTAAGTAAAGCTCAACGAACGCTATCTCGTGGCATGATTTTCATGCGATGCGAAGCACTGCATTTATGTAGTCCTTCGCGTACGTATCCAACATCTCTATATGGTACAAGAGTCCTTTTGAACATTGAGGCATGTACAAGTGAAAACGAAAGACGCCGATGGTAAAGGAAATACAGTCAAATATAGATTCATCTGGCCGAAATATCCCATGACCACCTGAAGCAGTGCAATCTAAAACTACAGCCGTTTGTTGCTTATTACTTCACTGAAGTCACAATCGAAAAAGACTTAGTGTCTCTTTTATGGGAATGTTTGTAATATAACACAGAACAAAAGTATCCATGCTGAACAATAGAAACTGTTAGAGTTTCGCCGCATAAGAAAATGAATTATATAAATGATGAAAACATGCAAGACAGTTTTTTCATGTTAGACATAGTATGCAGTCGTGATGGTTTTTTCCTTTCATACTTTTACCATTGAACATTCAGACCCATATCCCAGAATCCCATTTCGAGCCTTGTAGCAGTCTTAAACGTACTTATGAGCTTTTCGATGCGAGCTTTCACATGCCACACACCATATTCGTTGGCCAAACTCGCAATTAATAGTTCACCAGTGCGACACGCCTGCTGATAGTCGTCGGCAGCATAGTAGGAGATCCATTTCCAGTACGGTGTGTCACGTTTGGTTGTTAAATCGTTGAATAGACGCCATCCTATCTCACCATATCCGAGCAAACAGGGCAAAAGTGCAACACGAAGATCGAGCAAGTCTCCGATCATGCTGCAGTCGAGAATGAATCGTGTGTAGGCCAAGTTAGCTCGAGCTTCTTCAGTGGACACTAGACTGGCAGCGTCAATTCCCAATTCGGAGCAATAAGACACATGAAATTCGCTCTCATGACAAATGTCCCTCATATGCTCTGCAGCTAGCAAGATTTCCGCCATGGTATTGGACTTGTATGCAGCTAAAGCGTAGCATCGAGCAAAGTGTGTCAGAAAGATGTAGTCTTGTATCAGATAGTGTTTGAAGCTTGCATGTGAAAGAGTACCATCGGCTAAACCTTGCACAAATGGATGGTGAGTGTAATTTAACTAGATATAAAGGCAGGGCGTACATCCATTTGTTTTATTTTTCAAGCTCACTCCTCTCTTCACGCAAAGCAGTAAGAGAAAAGAAAAGAAAAACATACCCATTCTTGCACACATCCATTTTGTAGCAGTTTTACAAGCGATCGCTCTTGTCTTAATAAGCGTGGCTCGAAGATCCAACTTTGATTCCTCACGGACACTGTTTGATAGTCGCTTTTTGGCTGTAACTGTTCTTGTTGTTGCTCATGGACTACTACTGGTTCACATATCTTCATACGACTCAACAACTCGTCAGGCAACAATTTCGCGAGCAGGTGAAAGTCATGTTTGGGCACACCGCTATTGCTGTTTTGAGTTAGTAAGTTCTGAATAGCTCCATCGGTATATGCGACAGCATATTTCACGGCGAGGGTCAAGTTGATGCCATGTGCTAGAAAAGCCGTGATAGCAGCAGATAGCGTACACTGAGCTTCTCGTACATTATTTTCTGGCACAAATGAACTCTCGAATATAGTAAAATTAAGGCCGTCGAACAATACGTTCATAACAATGTTATTAACAGCGTTAGTTTGAGCTTGTAGTGGTGCACAATCGACCAACTGACTTCTCCTCAGTAAGACATGTTTCGGACCTAGGCGGTGCAAATCCTGAACAGCACGTTTCATATCGTCCAGTGAGATAATCTCCTGATCCAGCAGAACTGCTGCTTCGCTCAGGGTAAACGTTACATTAGAAGCAAGAGGTAAAAGTTTTCTATGTAAATTGATGAGGCTTTCCGTAGTAATGTTAGTGATGACCATACTAGAACCTACCACAATAATAGGAATCTGCTTTTCGGTAATGAAAGACACTACGCATTCGATA